AGTGAAACAGGAAGACCCTGGGATGCCTAGCTGCTCCGCTGCCTGCGAGACCCAAGCAGTGATTGGCTCAAAACAGCTTGAGGGGATCGGCACCCGGAGACGTGAAGGTCTCCCAGAGAGCGCCGTACGGTACAGGCAACAAAAGACGCGGATGAGGTCGGAAGCCCACGCGCAGTATTTGCGCAGGCGCTTCAGGGGCCCAATGGTAGGCGAAAGCAGGGGAAAAGGTCCCTCAGGTGGAACGGGGAAGTCCACGGAGACCGCATAGCAGCGCAGAGCCGAAAAGTCGAGGTCGGCAATGGCCACGGGAAGGAAGGAGACCCCCTCAAGACTCCAACGATGAATCCAATCAGAGCTTGCCGGCCCAAGACAAAGGGCATGCGCCGCAGGTGCAGGGCATCGGAGGAACGGGCAACGCAGTGAGGGATGAAAGGCATGCTCAGGCGTTGGGGCATCAGGCGGCTTCCCTGCGATGCGAGTGCAAAGGTGCTCAGGGGCAAGCACCAATAGTACATCAGCCGCCATCTGCCGTGTGGCCCCGTCGCTCATTTCCCGCATCCAAACTTCGACCGTGCGACGTAGAACTGGTAGCGGAGCAATGTGGGACACGATCTCGTCGTAGATGTCTTGGTCAGAGTTGAAAACCGAGCTGGCAAGAGCCAGTCGCAGGGGACGGCAGAACTCCTCCTCAGCATCTGGCAGGTGTGCATGGCCCCATCCCCTAATCACGGGTGCCTGGACATGTCCACAGCCAGAAGAAGCCCCACCTTCTGACGGCGGGTCCTGCGACTCCAAAAACTGCAAGCAGCGCGCAGAGGCGAGCAGATGACATCGGAGACGGCGCTGCGTGGCGTATTGCGAGCCACAAGCACGGCACTGCCGTCCAACTGCAAGTCGGGTTGCTGGATGACGGTAACCGTGGACTTTTTGAGCGTGGGCACCCCACTGCTGTCGAGAGGCAAAGGCCAGTCCGCACACCAGACAGCCATGCTGAAGGTCAGAGAGATCGGAGGTCGGGGCAGGAGCCGAATGATCCCATATCTGGCGGATAGCAAAATCAAAGCTTGCCTGCAAGTCATGATGAAGCCCTTGCCAGGCTTCCGCTCTCTTGAGAATGCCCTTCCAGCGGCCAGGGTTATCACGCAGAAGTAGTGCCCAGCTTGCCCAATCCTGCTCGACTGGCCCCAGAGGGGATGTGACACCTAAAACCTGAAGAAGCCAATTGCTCGCAGAGCGGATAGCCGCCTGGTAATCAGTGTACCAGCCGAGAAGAGCCCAGAGCTCGTCTGGGCCATGTCGGACAAGCTGCCCCAGAAATCGAAGGCGCTCGACATGGAGTATGGTTTCTGCCGACGGCAACCCGGTCGATGAGAGAAGTTGGGATGTGGTAAAATGCCAGTGTCCATGGGCCCTGAGGCCCAAAAGCTGGCGGTATAGACCAACAAGCCCTCCCGAGAAAAGGAGGCGGTCGCATTCTCCGAGCTCAGGCCAGCTGCCAATTCCTGCTGTAAGAGCAGATAAGACGTGACTTCGGAAGAAGGCAGCCCGCCTTTGCAGTGGAACATCCTTGCATGCAAACAGCCTACGGCGCCCATCCTTGAAGGCAGAACGTGCAAGGGCAAGCCGGTGCTTGACATCAGCACGCATCGAGCCGTCGTAGGCCACGACAGCCCCCAGGTGTCGGTAGCGCGCAACAAGGTCAAGCCAGAGCAGGCCTTTGTTATCCGGGAAAACGGGTGCCCGCCCTTTCAGCGTTCCGAAGGATTCGTGCCTCGCGGCCCGCGACCCGGGGCCGATGTGTGCCATAATGGCAGCCGTCTTCGTTGGTCCTAGATTGACGCGAAGTGCATGGGGCGTGAGGGTGTCAAACGTATCCGCAGCAACAGCGGAGACAACGCCCCGGAGTTTAGAGGCTTTCTCACAGACTACCGGAATGCAGAGGTCGTCAGCATACACAATATCCGGGATGTCCTTTAATGGGCTGTTCTCTGCGACGCTCGTAGGGAACAGCGTGCGTTGGCCGCTCCAGGGAACCGAGGGAACAGCAGAGAGCAAGGAGCTGGACTTCCGTCTTTTCAGTGCCTGTCCGAACAACAGGTTAAACATGATGTCCGCTAGTGTGCCACCCGGCCTTGTTCCTCGAAATGTGGAGATCATTTGCTCGTCTCCATGGAGGACAAACCATGTCTGCTGATGGAACTCGTGCGCAAGCTCCTGCATCAAGGCCGGGGCGTCCTGTTGTGGGAGTATTGCCTCATGTTCAACCAGGCGAGTAAGCTCCTGAAGGTCATCACAATCCAGTCCAAGAGCTGCAGCGATTTCATGCACTGGTCGGGACGAGAGGTCTTTACCGAACAGCGTCTCTCGAATCACTGCATAGTACGCTGAGGACAGGTCAATGAAGATCAAGGAAGCGGAGAGACCGTTTCGGTATGCGTAGTGCAAAAGTGCTCGCGAGCACAAGTGTCCGAAAGAGGCACTGCATCCGGAACGGCCGCCTATTTGCAGGGGTAGAGCAGCTCCCGTCCAATGTTTCACGACCAAGCCCCGCAGGGATCTATGAAAGGCCTTGGAAAGAGCCGATTGCACAAGGATGCCTCTATGGGCGTCACATGTGTGGGGCGACTTAGGGTGTGGCTTACAAATGTGATGCAAGGTGCCCCCTTTCATACCAGCCGCTTCAGCCGCCCCGCACACTGTCTTAAGGAGCAGGGGCCATAGAAGCGATGTGAGCTGGGGGCTAAAGCGCTTGCAGAGCATTGGAGGAAGCAGGTCAGGGCCGGCCGCCTTGCGCGCGGCCGTGCGACGAAGAGCCGCTTCGAGGTCCATCCACGTGGGCATATGTGAAGCGTCAACGGTGTCGCTGCCCTCAAAGTCTTCTTGGGAAGCCCTGCAGGCTGCAAGCAGTTGAGGAGGGGTGGTTTCAAGGCCGCCCTCGAGCACGCGGAAATGCTCACGCCAAGCGGTGGTAATCTCGTTTTGAGTCAGGCACTGACTACCGTCGGCTCGGTAAAGAGTAGGGAGCGGGGCATTCCCGCCCTTGCGATACTTTTTAGGTTTGAGGACCTTCTGCACAACCCCGTGCATAGAGCTGGGAGCAGAAGTTGCGATCTCATTCGCAATCTCCGCATACATTTGGTTGCGGTCTTCGCGGCAGGCGCGGCGCAGGAGGATCCCATATCGGCGCAGGAGCATGCAACTCAGGGCATAGCGGGTCTCCAGTTGCCAGAGCCATTGCCCCTGGAATAATGCAAGCAGCGGGTTCTCAGCAGACTGCCAGGCCTGCCACGCACAGCGCAATAGCGCATAGCGAAGGGCCATCTTCTTGCATCGCACGGAGTGGCGCAGTGAGGACACGACGCGGTGAAGTGCCGAAGTGCCATCAGTAAGGTATCCTGTGCGCATGCGTCCGCGTCGGACGGGGAATGCATCTACTAGCCCCTGGTATAAGTGATCAACAACCACTGCGGCGTGTTCACTTACATCCACCGTCCATGCAGGACGGGGGGAGGTGTTGATAATGTGCGCCACAGCTTCAGCGTTTTGGGGATCAGCCAGTGCACGCACATCAATGCGCTTAGCCCGAGGCGTGGTGTGGCTCGCGGAGGGCATAAGAAGTGACACATCAAGCGCAGCGGCCATGTGATCGATACACATGTGCCCTGCCGAGATATGCGGCTCAACCCACGCCCGACAAGTACTATTGAACCAGGAGCCGGGAACTCCGATAAAGTCAGACCTGTCCAGAGAACCACTTCGCTTCTGTCGCAGCGTTCCACCGTCGCCTGACATGCAGTGTTCAAAGGTGGCAGGCAGCCATAGTCCCTGCTCCTCCAGCAGTCGGTGGAACCAGAGGCCGGACTCGTCTTGGGCATCAGGCTGAAAACTTCCTATAGCAGATGACGTCTCACTGCCCAGCCGGCAGTTGGCATCCATCATTAGGATGGCAAGGCCCCCAGCCACATATGTATGGCACAGGTGGGAGAAACGTTTCCACCATGACTGCTTGGTGGAAGAGGTATGCGCACGATGGGGCGCGTGCGCGACGATGATACGAATGGGCCTGCTCATAAGAGCTGCGGAGACAATAAGAATGGTGGGCGAGGCATGCAAAACCGCCACGGAGGCCGCCTTGCAGGGGCTATCATCATGAATCCATAACTCAATGCCAAAGCAAGAGCTAGGGTCTGCCCCAGAGGAGAAACGGGTGTATCGGCCGCAACGCATGGAACCAGGCGAGGTTCGACATTCCTGTAATCCTGCAATCGCGACACCCATTGTTTCCAACGACTGCTGAAGCAGAGACGGTCGGCCGACAGCGCCATGAATGCCGGCCCCAGCCTCCGACTGTCCGCCGCTGTCCTGGAGAGAAAGCACATTAAAGCTCACCATGCGCCACTGACACAATTGCGGGCTATGCCCATCAGCGTCGCCACCGGATTGTGGGAATGCACGGAGAAACGGCTTCATCACATGCTCCGAACTGTGGTTGTGCGCACCAGGCCCACGATTCCATCTTAGGACCTGGTGCTGCAGGCATGGGACCTCCAAACCTCGGCGTCTGGACAGACAAAAGTGCGGCAGCCACTGCAGAAAGCTCAGGTCAGCTGTCATAGCCACGTCGAAGCGAAGAGGATCTATGAGAGAGTGTCCATCTGCGCCGTGATTGGCCAGCGCGTCTGCAAGCTCATTCGCAAAGTCACCGGCATGTCCGGGAACATGTTGGTATCGGACTGCGGCAGGGGACGCCTGCGAGGCCGTTGCATGGAGACACCGGGCAGCCTGACAAAGATTGTCTGATCGCATGCTTACAGTCCCCTCCGCCCCAGCCAGTGCGGATGTGCAATCGGACCGGAAGATCACGGGGCATGAAATGGCGAGTTGAAGGGAAGCAATTGCGCTCCAGCAGAGGCCAGCGACCTCCGCAGAGTAGGCGTCCCTGTGCCGCGAGCCATCGGATTCACCACCAACAAGGGAAGTAACGTCTCCATAGAAGCAGCCTACAAACTGTCCCGGCAGGAGAAGGGTACTAGATTCAACCAGGCTGACAACAAGACCCCATCCGACCCTACCGTGACTGTCCTGAAAAGATCCGTCCGAGGTGAGGACTACGAGCTCCCCTGGGGCCGGGGCGCGACCAACACAACCTTCGGCTACCCACGCCGCAAAGCGGTCGGGTTTATTGAGGCCATGGGGGGGCCCCGACAGCAAGGACAAGGGGGCTCGCTGCAGTAGCCAGTCCGTCTGGGCCGGCGTACCGGGCAGCAAACACTGGCGCGCCTCTAAATCAAAAACTTCCGGCTCAGTCCCGCTGGGGAGCATATCCTGGCCGAAAGGGATAGACTCGTTGAGGCATATTGTTGGCCTGGTGACCTGTGTGTGGTAGGCAGTGTGATTGGGTCGCGCGAAAGCCTCCTCCAAGGCAATCGAAGCCGCGAGCATAGGCTGATAGTCATTATCGAGCATGCTCCTTTCGAGCAAAGTGGAGAGGATCTCCTCCCGCTCCGAGTGCGAGCCGATTCGGGCGGTATCGCTAGAGGCATGAGTCGGCTGTGGCAGGGATCTTGGGATGCGTCCGTAACCTCGGCACGGGGTCGGGATAGGACGTGAGACGCCACTTGTTGTTCGGCCGCTGCCAGCCTGAGGGCCTGAACCTGCAGCGACATATGTGTGGTCGGCCGCCGAGGTAGCACACACAGTCCCCCTAGGAACTGCAGTAACAACGGTGTGAAGGTGAACGGCCTCGGCAACAGGGAAGACCCGCGGCTGGCTGAGAGCACATAATGCAATCCCAATTGGGCTACTGCAGCGGCTCAGCGCCAAGAGCACAACTACACCAAAGGCATTGGTACTGGACACTGCAGCAATGCAAATGCAGGCGCCAACAGCAAGGCAGGCAGCAGCAGGGCGCTCTCCTCTTCCGCACGGGGTCCGATCAGGACGGCGGTCACCACGGCTCAAACGCCTATGGCTTGCGTCGGCACTGCGGACAGGGTGCTCATACCGGGAAACAGGGGTGTGCTCCGGTTCGCCATCGTGAGAGGCATCGTCATCATTTACACCGAGAGAACACATGTACATCGGTTGGGCATCAGAACGGCACTCAGAGGGAAGATCGGGGGCCGTCACCTGGAAACCTGAGAAAGTGGCTTGACAGGCGGGTGCGTCCGGCTTGAGGGTGCGCCTCCCATGGATTGGGGTACCAGTAATGAAGCGATTGCTGGTTTGTCCATTACCTTGCATACCTCCCCGGCCACTGCTGCCATAGCCCGCAGAGTATCGCTGGGTGGCCCCTGTGCCTGCGTCGGCACGTGAGGAGGTTGAGGAGGATGCTTGGTCCCCTCCGAAGTCAGGATCGAAGTCCGAGTTCGCACTGCTTGCAGGGGGCACGGTTGCAGGGGAGTCGTGCGTGCGAATACCTTGCAGATAGTTCGGCTGGAACTCAACGGTGAGCACTTCACCAGGCTCGACGCGGCGGTAATGATTGCCGCCCTGAATAAGGGATCCACCGTAGATCCGGATGTGGTAACCTGCTGGGCATCGCCATGCTAGCCGGTGGCACAGAGAGGCCACATCTACTAGACTGTCAGGAGCATACGCCCAACCGATAGTCAGAAGGATGGGCCGCAAGTCTAGCACAAAAGGGGTTTTAGCATTGCGCCCATTTGGCGTGAAATCATGCGTTTGACAAGCCACAAGAACGCCCCTAGAGAGAACGCCGAGCCGGGCATGATCATCTATGGCTGGGGATGTAGGGACGAGCGTGAACGAGCCATCCGGGAGCCGCAAAGATGCAGCAGCCCCGGAACTGCTTGATGCAAAGAGATCTCTATCAACAGAAGTCGCAGCAACAGGGCCATCAGAAAGCACCCACGAAACATTCTGCTGTGCACCGCCAAGCTCGGGAAATGGCTCCCACATCCTAGGCCTTCTGAGCATGGAAGCCAGGCTAGGTAGCGGCTCAAAGGGGCCAGCGGCTGGAAGAACTGTGATGAGGTCACCTTCGGCCAAATCGACTGGGTCACCTGCCTGTAACGGCCAAGGCATGTCGCGCACAAAGACTCGGACGTCGGAGGACATGCTAAGGCCCAAAAGGTTGAGCATATCGGCTCTCCGGATGACCTTAGGCAACACCTGCGCGAAAATGTGTCCGTAGGGGAATCTGCTGTCGATAAGGACTGCCGCACCATCATACCGCCATAGGGGGAGCGCAAGCGCGCAGACTTGCCCGGCACGAGGCTGTGGGTAGACCTCCACAATCCGCGGTCTCTTTCTGTGATCTTCTGCCTCGCGTGCCTGTGCAGCAAAGCCAAAGGCCTCAGATGGCATTGCGGGCACGATCACTCGAACAAGCACGTGCTCCGGCCAGCACTCCTGAGCAAACAGAAGGAAGGGGATATGGACATCCTGGGCCTCAGACATACCTTCGCCTTGCACTGGCTCCACCGGCAGGGTAGAGGGAGATCCCTCTGGCTGTGTGGCGAGGGAGGCTCCGCTAGCCAGAGTTGATGCAGCGGAGTTGGCTGGAGGGGGCGGTCCGGACGCACCGCCAGGGGGCTGAGTATGGCCGTCGTCCGCGGCTAACGGCACGTATTCGACAACCAAAATCTGTCCCGGGTGCGTATGAAGCCAGCCGTGTGCATCAGGCCTGACATCAATCCTAGCCTGCCATCCGCGGGGAGCATCATCATCGATAGTCTCCAAGAGGTGGGGGAGATGGATTCTGCCAGCATGGACTCGGAGGATACGCCATGCATCCTGTATTTGCCGGCAATCGAGCAGGCAGCAGTGCCAAGGGCGGTTGCCATACACATGGGGTGGCTCGGCTGCAGCAAGAACAGTTCGGCACTGGTATCCATCTATCTCAACATCAGTTGGTCGTGGCTGCGCCGCTTGGATTCGCAGCACACGAAGAGCAATGCCAGTCGCCTGCGCAATGGCATCCCTGTACCTTGTGGGTTCGGGCGGGGAGAAGTGCAGAAAGGACGCTCCGAGCTGGACGACACAGTATGCATCTGCGTCCCGTATTATCGGGAGAGTGGGCACGTCTGTCCATCCTTCTGTGGACAGAAGACGTTCTCCCAATGTGCGCCGATTTGGAGAGGATGCTCGTGGAACGAAGGACACAAGGGCAGCCGGGAACAGATGCACCGGGACCTCATCAATGAGGGGGTCTTCCGCAGTACCCACATAAATGTCCACGTCTTCAGGATTGTTGATCCTTGCTAGCCATAGCAATTCGTGCCTGGAGACATAGTCAGGCGCGTGGATAACGAAAACCCTGCCATCTATACAGGCTGTGGAGAAACAGACCGCATGAAGATCGGTGCTCCATGCCGGGGTGGCAATGAAAACTGCTGTGCCACAGACAGGTTGCGGCAAAATTGGATGCATGTTGGGGAAGCGCCGGCGGCAGTCGTGCCCACGCGCAGCCTGCACAGCAACAGCTAGCTCATCCTCCGTCGCTGGCATACAGATGGCAACAGAAAGGAGTTCAGGCCGATATCCAACCTTCAGAACCGCACAGCCTATGCGAGCAAAAATCTCGCCATCGTCATCAGAGAGTGCGTCATGAGGAGCTTCCATAAGATGCACGCCATCGTACGGTTCGAGAGCCTCGTCATAGTGCCAGCGTCCTCCTAGCAGTCTCGTAAGGCGACGCAGGTATGAGAGGTGCCATCGTTCTGTGGGGGAGTGACCTGCGGGCTCAGAGAGGAACCTGTGTCCTACATGAGGGCAACCTAGGATGCTAAACGAGAGCACAATAAACGCATAAGCAATGCCAATGTACCTGGCCTGTTCGGCGAGTAGAACTCGGTGCGCAGGGCTGGCAAAATCAAGCACACTTGCTCCGACCGGCGTGCAAAGGACAGCCACAGCACAGCAGCACGCAAGGCATCCACGAGCACGGGGGCTTGGCGGAGGAGGCCCACGGCGAGGGGAGCGGCTGCGGTCGGGGGCATGGTGCCTCGGCCTGGGGGAGCTTGCTTCACTGGTGTCAGAGGACTCATCAGGTTCTGAGTCTTCGTCAGCTTCCGGCATGCAGGAGGCCCCATGGTCTGCCGGGCTGCTGCAGAACTCCGCTGAGGTGGAGGGGACATACTCAGCGATGAGCACACAACCGTTATGAACCGCAAGCTTGCCGGTGCTATTGTCAATTTCTGCACCTTCGACCTGCGGCTGCCAGCCATCTGGTGAGAAGGTGTCCAACCAGTCGACAAGCTCAACATGAGAGACATGCGGCTCATCCGTAAGCCACAGGGCCCAGCCTTGAAGCAACGGTCGGCAGTCCAGGATTGTGACACAGTGGGTGGAAGGGGGTCGGGCAACCTCATCACCAGCTAGAGCGAAGGCGCACAACCTCTCGCAATGAAAACCCAAGTATTGTAGGTCGCCAGGAGGTGGTGTACTGATTGCAAAGTACGCCTGGCCTGCCATCACGCCGTGTTCCTGCAGCACGGCGTTCAGGAGCTGTGCGTCGGCCACATCGGTAGAGAAACAGCCGAATGCGTCGTCCTGTACCACGAGGACGCGGTGGCCCCGCGGGGGTGCCTGGATCTGTGGTGCCGGGTCCCAACAATGCGGCGAGACCAACATCGTCCAGATGGAGTGACCTTGAACGGTCCATCTTGCGCCCGATCTCTGAATTGTTACGGTGCCGCCAGTGACCAGGTCGCATTCCCGATCTGGCCCCATGGGGATGTGCTCACGGAATGCGAACACATCTACCGCCGAGTCAGGTGGCAAGCCTGCGGCACGAATGACTTGCGCACGCGAGAACGGATTGGCTAGTGAGGCCAGGAAACAGCGGTCGTCCAAATCCAACATGTTCAACAACACTATTGGGTCACGCTTAGCCCATCCTGGAAGGGCAATGGCAGCACCCCAATATTGCGTGGGTTGTGGGTCCGCAAACACGATATTGGGATAGTAACGACTCCGCTGATCTGACATAGCAGCAGAGACGGCCTCGCGGGCTGTCTCGATCTGACAAGGCGCTCGGAGCGTGACTTGCACTTCCTCCGGGACAGTGTGCATGGCATAAATCATAAAGGTGGGGTGCCAGACGCTGTCATCCTCATCATCGGAGTCATGGTCACCTAGCGCAGGAAGGGGTCCCTCGGCCAGTGGAGGGAACTCCCCAATGCGATGGAAGGGGGCCGGAAGGTGTCCAACAATTCCCTGCTCCTGCGAGGCCTGAACATTCAGGGCAAGGTTCTCGGTACCCTCGGAAGGGGTCTTGAATCCAATGCCTGGAAGACTAGCATAGGAAAGGGGAGCTAGTCTGGGAGCAGGACACTCAGATGACTCCGGGAGTGTCCCCTGGTCAGATTCCTCTGACTCTGAGAGCAGCACTTCAGGGCACGGAACCGATGCAGCACGGGTGTATGCTAGAATGAGAGTCTCACCATGGTAGACCTCGAAACCTTCTTTGCAGCGCCTACCCCCATTGACTGCTATCGTCCAGCCCGTGAGCAGGGGAACCCCGGCGGCAGCTCGCAGAGCGTCTCGCGAGATGATGAATCCCTCAAAGGCAATTAGAGACATACTTTGACCAAGCGGTCGGCAGTCAAGAAAGACCGCAGTGAGGGATGCTGAGGGTTTATCTTCGCCACCACAGTTACGCGGAACGACCCCAATCACCCCTTTTACGTGATTACCCCGATGGACTAGTGAAGAACCGGCAGGCAAGCAAGCTGCAACCATGCGTACTGATGACAGTGGGACATCTATAAGCGCCGCAGCCTGCTGCATGGTGGCCCAGTCGTCATGACCAAATGAGCTGAGATAGGCGGTTCTATCAGGGTGAAGGACCAGCGCACCTACAGCAGCAGGTGAGTAAGGCAGACGCACACTGTCCTTATGGCCATTGGAAGTTGGCAGCCTAGTCGTGGTCCAGGCGGGCGAGGAAAGGGGGCGCATGAATTTAATCAGATCCCCATGCCTGAAGCCAACACTCTGATCCGCACACAGCGGGGTGTTGCTGCCAGGGGTGAAAACGTCGTGCGCTCGGACGGAGTCCCATCCTGAGACTCTACGCAGGTCTTGCAAGGTAGCGAAGGAAGGGACAACGCTGGCAAAGACGCTTCCACCCAGGTCTCTTGTGTCAATCAGCACCGCTCTGCGACCAAGCACGGAGAAGCATGAAGGATACGCAATGAAAGCAGCAGAGTCGGCATCAGGACGCGGCCATACCGGCGCACAGGCGTCCCAGCAACTTTCCAGCCTATTTAGAACCTCCTCCTGCACAATGGTGTTAAGCCCATCAGCCGTGACATGCGTTGGCACCGAGACGTGAAGCACAGATAGGGGAAATCCAGGTACTGCCAGCAAAATAGGCAGTTGGGATCCATCACCAAACGCTTCTGCGAGGACCTCCGCCTGGACCTCTGCAACAATGCTCGCGAGAGATGGCTCTGGAGGGGCCTTGCGCACGGTAGGAAGGTCAAGGGGTTCCGGAGAGGGTGCTACGGACAGCTCAATCAACAGAGGAAGCGCACTTCGGAGAGGTTCGGGCATTGCCCACACCTGGACCGGGACTGAAAAGAAGCATAACATCGCCACGCAGATTCGACCGTACAGACCAAGTGAGCGAACAGAGGGGCCAGGACGGTGACGACGTGGTCGCACCCCCCACTGTGCCCATCCTGTGGCATCAACTGCTGTCATGGCGCCAAGCGGGACGAGCATGCACAAGGGAACGCTCGCACTGGGAAACCCCAACAGGGAGATGAGCGGCGAACGACCAGGAACAGCCCGAAGAAGCAAACGCCATAAAGCGAGCGCAACAATGGCAAGGGCCGTATGGCAAAGAGCCACCAATGCATGTGCGCAAGGGCTGTCAGACTCAGTGGAGGACCCAGAGCCACCGATTCCTCTCTTAGGCACTAAGCGTTGACAACCGCAACCGAGACCAGGCGACCCACGCGCGGAAAATGCAAAAGGGTCAACGGGAGGCCAAGTAAACGAGGCTTGCACCCCAGCGCCACCGATGTGCATATTAGGCGCTCTCGTTAAAGGGCCGATCCGGAAAACTGAAGAAGCCCAGGGCCAACATTGAGAAAAGACCTTGGGCAGACCCGATCCGGAGTGGAAAGGGGGTGGCGGAAGAAAAACGACGGAATGCGCCGAAAAACCAAGCGAGGGGGTTGGCGCTTCAACTCCAAAACAAGAGTGAGCACCAGCCCGCGAGGAGACAGCCTGCCCAGGTCGGAAAGAAAGCCGCCAAAACCAGGCGACTCTTCCCGCCCCGGCGGGCATGCGAGGATATCCATGGACCCAAGCAGCGACACACGGAGGAGAACCCAGAGCCACCGATTTCCCTCTTAGGCTCCGCATGACGCTAGGGCAACAAAACTCTGCGGAGCAATCAAAGCTCAACGCAAGCAGCGGGGTATCAGAAGACCCTTGAAGCAGGCAACCGCCCCAAGATGGGAATGAAAAGGGGGCCGGAGCAGCCACAAAACTGCATTCCTCAGGGAAACTACCTAGAGGTGAGAAAAAGCCAGTACAGAAGAGACTGTACAGCGACAGAGCCTCACTTAAGTGAGACCGCGCGAAGCTGGCGAGAACACTGGCCACCTGATCTCGTGATCGGCATTGACCGAGGGGACCGGGGGAGAAGGACTTCACCATCGAAGTCCATATCCACACACTTCCCTCCAGCCTGCCAGACCAAGGATAAAGAGGCCATTGTATCGCCGCTTCGCGCCTATGCAAAAACTGGGCTCCGGCATGTAGCTGCGCACAAAAGCAGGAAGCCCCGGTGAACGGGGGAGCCCCAAAAGCTCGTGCTACTCCATCTTCGTCAGTCCTGGAGAGGCAGACTGTAAGATGCCATCGGCGGCGTCCAGCTCCTCGTTGAGATCGTCGACCTCCAAGTCGATTTGTGCCGGCACTGCAGAGGCATTCGAAGCGGGTGGGGCCGTAGGAGCGGCCGGCATGCGGAAAGGACGCAGGGCGGCGCCCGCCTCTATCGCAGCCTCGACCTGCTGTCGCTTCTCCGATAGCTTCGCAGCTAGTGTGGGTGCCGGGGTGGAAGCATGCACCGGTGCTCCAACAGCCCCCTTCACTGGCGATCTGTGGCTGCCATCCCTCGCCTCGGTGATCCTTCGCTTGCTCTTTGCCATGTCCGAGAACTCGCCATGAGAAATAGTATCCGTGGGGTCGGGCACGTGCGGCCCGCTCGGTGAGGTCAAATACGGATCTTGCGAGGCTGAAAGGCCCGGAGGGCTGCCGGCATTCCTTGCTGGCGCAGCTGCAGTTGTCGGCGGTGTATGAGGAAGCCCCCCAGTTGAGCGGTGCGGCGGGGTTGATGGTGCTGGGCCAAAATTGGCCAGACCCCCACCCTGCTTGACATGCTCCAAGAGGCGAGCCAAATCCCTTGAAAGCTCCCCATCCGTTAGCAGTTCTGCATCCACTTCCATGTTCTCCGCCGGAGATATGGTCGTGCCGATGTGGGCCGTGCACTCGCTTGCCACAGCCGTGACTTGGCTGTACGCAGCTGACTGCTGTGCTTCCAGATCCCGGATCTCTCCAATGAGACGCTGAGAGTCCGCGACAAAACGACCCTGTTCTTTCCGCAAAGCTTGACGTAGTTCCGCAACATAGGTGCTCCAACGTCGCTTTCGGGCCTCGTATTCGCCCCGGAGGCGAAGGAGCCGAGTGTCCAGCTTCCTGGCCTGGTTGAGGGCGGCCTGCACGGCTTGGACCACTGAGGGTGCTTTCTGCGGTCCAGTGTACTGCTTCTCCTGAATGATCGCAAGACCTTGAGCTTCTTTCCAGTTCACATCGTATGCCGGAAAAGTTGGCCGTGCCTTGGCCTTGGGCTGCGCTGGCTGTTCCGAGTATTGACGACGTTGCGACGGCGAGCCCCAAGCACCATGCCAGATGTCCCAAGGTCGGCCTTGTTCCGGCTGCCATCCCTGGCTTTGGCGTTGGCCTCCGCGGTTTCCTGGATTCCTTCGGCCTCCCATATAGAGTCCCGAACCGTGGTGTAAAAGAAGACGGTTCCACTGCAGCCAAGAAAGGGGCCTTCCAGCTTTTCTTGAACGCCTTGCTTTGGAGCGCACCTGTCTGCGCTTACGGTGCCAGCTGGGAGAGGGGCTGTGCACTGCAATGGCTCAGACAAGATCCTCTACGGCAGTCTAACTGCCTGGGGCAACAATTTTCCGGCACAGCCGGCGATTTGAGCCCT